ATTGTTACGAGGCATCAGTAAATTCTGAATTTGGTTCGACTCTGGCACGACGTCTGAATCAGAGTTGTTTTTCTGCCGTGCCATAGTCGAACCAAATTGCAATTATGTTCGGCACGGCAGAAGCACGACGTCTGAACTGGGCCTTGTTAGTTTTGTCAATAGAGAAAAAAAGATTTCTCAGATAGAACGAGAATAAAGCAAATAAAGAAAATGTTTGTTAAAAGGTTGAAACAATACAATTTGACGCGGTGGGACAGAATAGTGTCAAATTACACGCAAACGGGAAGTAATGGCTCCTGACGAAAATCGACTTTTTTTCTTCACTTTTACAGTGCTTCTAAAGAAGCTGTGTATCCAGTAAATTATAAAGGTCGTGTTCTTTTGGGTTGTTTGAGTGTTTTTGTGTTCTATCGGGGGAAACCTGTTTTCCGCGATTGGGTTGGTTGATCAACTTTTTCAACCGGCCTAAAATCAGGTTGAAAAGTTGAAAAAGCGTTGGCTGTGTCTTTTCGCGGGCTATTCCCAGGAGTCTCGGGGTTTCAACCGGAAACGGTCTGAAAAGGGTGACGTAGCAGCTCTCGTAAGGTCTCACATGAATGGCTCGCTACCCTTTGAGAGAACAATAGAACAAACAACAGAAACAATACCCCCAGCCCTAAAACAATAACAGCTGCAAACAATGAAGAGAATTACAAGCTTGGAGAGCGACTACATTTCTGTCGGAAAATCGTTCTATTGAGAACGTCAATCGTGTCAACTGAAACTGGTTGCGGTTGAACCCAATAGAACATGACCAAAGTGTCTTGAAATAAACCACTTATTAAGTAACCTGGCTCGGAAATATTATTGTCGTCGCTCGGTCTTTTCGTTATCAATTTCGCCGCGTGGATTAAGAGCTAGGGCCACTATTACTAGTCACAACCCTCGCCGCACTTTGTTACCATTAAAAATATATCTATATTTGATGCCTTTACCCCGGGATACTTGCTGTACCTTAATTTTAAAGGTCTGGGTCCCGTTGTTTTAAAAGAGGATCACTATCCACAGGGATAGCGGAGCGTATTTTGAATTGGGGGGAGCGGGGGCGGGGGGCTAAAGAGCGAGCGCCAGAGGCGCTAACTTGTAGGGGGTCTGAACATAGTAGTGAAATTTTTTTGCTTGCTTCAAATGCCCCCCCCCCTCCCAAGCCCCACGGCTTTGCTGTCCCTGATCCAGTGAATAGCACAATCTGTTTTACTAATGCTTATCTACATGATAGCGATTTACCACATGACTACGCCATTTTCTTTTTTTTTTTGTTACATTAGGGTTGCACGTACCCAAACTCTACATACCATGAAGCTGAAGTGTTTAAACAAACCTTGATGGCTTTCAAAATAGGATATGTGATGGTGTGGTCTCCGCCCACTATCAAAGGTTTACATCCCGTGTTGACAATGCTGGCCACGTGTTTTTGTATTATTTCAATGTTGGCTTCAAGATTAAGAACGTTGGTCGACACGTCACCGACATCAGCTACCATCAGCGATTCATAAGGTGCAGCTCCTGTATGTGTGTTGTGAGGACGTATCAAACAAGATTCACAGCGGATTTGTCTGGGACCCATGCTTTGTAGGAAAGAATAAAACATACTGCAGTCAGCTTTGAATCCCCAATCCAAATTCTTGGAGTCCAGTCTATGATTTTACGTCACACTGCATTACGAGGCCAGGAAGAAACTGAGGCCATTTTCGTATTCTCGGTATTGAACTGGGACTAGCTTGTAATCGAGGCTAATGGGGGAAGCCTTTTCAAATAAAATGAAATTACTCTGTTTGGAATGATGTTCCCCCTCATGAGCCTCTATTGCAAGCTAGTCCCAGGTCAATACCGAGAATAAGAATATGGAGGACAGTTATCAGCCTGAAGGACACCCGCCTGAAAACCAACTGCGCTGTACTGAGCCATGCAAATCGCTTAAAGAGCGCGAGTTGACTTTTCGAGTGATATACCCCTCATCAGAGCAAAGTGCTTTCCTCTAATGAGTTTGCCTAACGCTCGAAATGGGGTTTAACTTCAACTAATGCTTTTTTCGTGAATTTTTCTTCGGTCTACAAAAGTTCAAAACTCAAGTGGACCCACAAACCCGCTAGGCTCGATTTCTAGCTGCTGTGGGAGTTGTACGGTTGTGATTTTCTTCCCAACGTTGGCGTGACTCAGGCAAGGAACGCGGGCTAACGAAACAGCTGGGACAAAGTTTTGAACTAGCTACTTGAGAAGTCCGTCAAATTTCCTTACGAACGATTATATTTGGATATTTCTGTGCTCACGCAATCGTTGCACCGTCATGAGTCACGCATCAGGAATCACGAATCAGACAGAAATCAAAACAGCAGGCAACTATTGTGCTACGCTGTCATCTCGGTCACGAAAAAAGATGCCTAGAAAGTTATAATGTATTTGTTAGATTTTGCACTTATTGTGAGCGCTTAAAATCCTTTTTTCCTTCTTCATACTTCACCTAACTGAGCAGAAACGTTTGGTTGACCTCGGGGTCTCGAGTTGTGAGAAACAAATAATTTGAAAGCACGAGCGAAACATTCGAATAGTAAACAAAGCAAGTAATGTTATTTCTTATGGAGAATCTTACCGCGCTCCAGTCCGGTGAGCATAAGTACCAGTGTCTAATGGAACCCCAAGAAAACACGCATCCAGCCCCTCAGCTGTTGATTGCGAAGGAAGCCGAAACATCGTGGGTAATCCTGCTGTTCGAGGCACATCGTCTGGGGTCAGGGGATAGTTGAATTTTTTCGATGATATCCAACTTGTAGTTATTTTGCGAGCCTTTGATACGCATGGAATAGGTTGAGTCCTAGCGAGAAAACCACGGCAAGCCCTTCGAATGAACATCTTTGAAGCTGTTTAAGCGGACAGAGTGAGTGTTTGCGTGACCTGAATAATTTGGTAGTATAATTGAGCTTAATTAACTTCTCTCTAGTTAGCATGTCATTAGCTACTTCAAGCTGCGGATATGGAGGGTACCCAAGAACACACTGTAGAAAGGGAGTTGTATTAAATCACGTATCCCCCACTCTCCCTAATCAATTTTGGAAAATGTCGCGTTTTTTCCAACAAAAAGGGGAAAAATCACCTGATTATCAACATTGTAAGTGGGGAGAGGGGAGAACTGGCTTTGTGCCCCAACTTTTTTGTCTGGGATTGTAGATCCTTGACCCGAGTGGCGTGTTTTCCATATCCTCATTATAAATAAAGAAGAAAAAATTACACGGTGGCTTGAAGATAAGAATTTTATTTTCTCGTGTTAAAAACAATATTACTCTACTCGCTGCGCTCGTTGGTAAAATATTGTTTTTATCACTCGAAATAAATTTCATATCTTCGTGCCGCTGTGTAATATCCCTTACCTAATAAATAAATAAAAATTTAATACTCGTATCAAGTATGATAAAACTTTTGTCGAACTTTTATAGCAACAGAATCGGAAAATCTACACTGAATAATTTTAATAGGAGAATTTGAATTAACAGAGTTTTCTGAACTCTTCGAAAAGCCAGTATACGGGGGTTGGCGTGCAGTGCAGACATTGAATTTTCTCTTAGGTAGTCAGAATAAAAGAATTCTGAACTTATCAGCTGTGTGTTTTGTTTCTGCAGTTTTTCTAGTGCGGTTGCACTTACACCCTGAAAGCAGTACGTAGGAGAAGCCAGCTGCTCGCAGGATATTCAGTACATACCAACGCGCATATCAAGACTAATTTTGATGGGAACGTTCCTCGGTGGGTGTGACCTCCATTGGGTACGAAACAGGTAAAGATCGTTTGACCGTTAGGAAACACAATCTGTAGGCGATATGGTAGCCTTCTTCACCTCCTCTCCGACTAATGTTCACAATACGAGGAAATTCGAAGAACCACATCTCCCTGTCAGGTGAGTACCTTCCCTCTCGGGAAATTATTTTTGGGAAAATCATCAAAGCGCCTTATTCTGCGCCCGCGAGCAAAATATTCGTCAGGAGGTTTCTTTTGAGGATGCGCAGAAGGATCGATTTTTCCCAGCGCCGAATTCAAGTTGGAATGCTAATCGAGAATTTTTCAACGTTTTACGCGGATTTTAGTACAAAAATAAGCTGTTCGAGCTTAGTTTTTATGGATTATGGTCTGCGAGGAACCGATAAGGGTATGATATCCTTTAATTTTCTGCTTTGATTTGTTTACAATTTTTATTAAGATTGCATTTTGACAGTTTGGGGCGCGGGATAGTTGGATTTGAAGGGATTTATTCCTTTGGAAGCAAAAATCTATTTAACTCCCAGCCTAAATTGTTCAACTTTATTGTAGAAATATCTTTATTACCAGCGAGTGAAGTCTCGTAGGAGCTGAGCGACTCCGTTGCTTTGGGTGTTTGACTCACTTGATGAAAGCAAATTTGAAAATATTTTGAACTGAACATCACTTTGTGCTTGCCTTTTAGCTACTGAAAAATTTAACCATGGAACGACTATGAAACGCAAGCAAAGTTGTTGATTTTTGTCAAATATTGTTTTAAGTATTTACATATACAGAAGAAGCATTTTCTTTATCACTTCATTTGATCACCACTTTGTTTCGTGAAGGATTGTGTGTGTGTTGTTAATGCTGAAATACACACACAGCGCCGTCTCTCATTAAACATTTAAGTAAAAACATTCAAGTGCCTTACTGGACATCTGGCTTTCCTTTCTTTTAAAGGATGTTCACTTAATGAAATAGCAGTCTAAATGTATATGTGGATGATGGATTTTAGCACTCTTGTGTTTCAATAAGCTCGGAATAGTGCAAGGGTTCAGTACATGTACATGTAGCTACCAGAGCATGGCACTTCAGTTTTGGTAGACCATAGAGATTTTATCAAGAGATTTAATTATTCCATTGTGAGCACACCAAATTTACCAGCTGCATGTGCATTTAGACAGGGAGATATGGACAAATCAGCAAAGCTCTTCCATACACATGTACATGTCCCTGCTCCAGAAATGTGACTAAAATTCACAGTGACACATTGGGCATTTTGTGATGTACTAATTCAATTAGTGAAAAGCAAAAGTAGGACATTTTGATTTAAAAAATAGTTAGACTGTAAAAATGCCCTGGTGAAAATTTTTCAGGGATTGCAAAGGATCTGAAAGATTTTCATAAGGATAAGTTACTGATTTTAAATTCAGAATCTTGAAAATTCTCTGCTGGTTTTTAACTTGAGAAGGTGTGAACTTCTATGCACCAACTACATCCATTCTATATTTTGTCTTTTTTACAGGCATCTATATGGCATGCTTTGAGCCATTATGCCTATGACGATGCAATCTTCCTTGCTGAACGACTCTTTGCAGAAGGTAATTTATAACCTTTACATGCTCAATCTCAAAAGAGCAATTCTCCCAACTGATTTTTATACTTTTCTTTCAATGTTAGTATCGAGAATTCAGTGGTATATCAAGATTATATCTTCCAGCTGATGATTTTCCCTTATTTAAGTGCCCAAACTGGTACAGTCAACAGATCTCTATTTACTTTTTCAACAATAAGTGTTTTGGGTCAATGTTTGGCCTACATAATGCTGTCGGTTTACTGCTGGCTGACTGTCGGTAATGTGTTGGCATTTTGTTAACTGACAGTTGATCGACAGTTTACTGACAATTGAAAATGGGAGGCATTCTTTACTATTTCCGAAATTGTAACAGTCTGATAAACAGTAACCACATAAAAGTATGCTCAATAGCATTCATTTGAATGGTCACACACTAGGGTTTTATTCACAGACTTAAACGTTAGAACCACTTGTACAGCATAATAAATAATACCACATGAAAGTACTGCTCAATAGCTTTTATTTGAATGGTCACACACTAGGGTTTTATCTGAATACTTAAAGTTAGAACTGCCTTGTACAGCATAATATTCAACTAATAAAACAGTACCACATGAAAAAACTGCTTAGTAGTTTTCATTTGAGGATTTAATTCACCGTATAAATTTAAAATTACATTGTATAGCATACTATTTAACAATTAAACTGGTAGCTCACTACAGCTACTGGTCAATAGCCCATGAGGTGAAGCCGAATGGGTTATTGACCCGTGGTCCTTGAGGGTGAAGGGTCTAATTGTTTTAGTATCACCCAACTAGGTGGACAGAAAAGGCAATAATAAAGTTAGCAAATCCAAGTTGAAGAAATATTTATTTGGGAATAAAACAAAGGAAAGCATCACACTCTATTGCACCAATTTCACTACTTGAGGACTATTACTAATAGTCCTCTAGTAGCGTAGCCAATTAAAATGCAGGATTTGCGTTAGTCCACTAGTTAGGTGATACTAAGAAAATATTCTGCAATCTTTTTCATTTGCATAACACTACAGAGGCTTTTTAGTGTTAAATCATGGTATATTTTTGTTCTAGTGGGTTCTGATGACACTCTGTACCTTCTGGCAACATGTTTCTATCAAGCTGGTTACTGCAAGAGAGCCTACTCTCTGTTACAAAGCAAAGGGTGCCCTACTCCACTCTGCCGCTTTCTATTTGCAAAATGCTGCATGGACTTAGATAAGTATGTTTGCATTCATCTGTTTTCCCTTTTTGGATGCAATTTATAACATTACAAGCACAGAATGTGCCAAAACTTCACTGGAGCCCACAGTGATCCATTGATGGTGAAGACCAGAATCACAGCATGATGTTATTAACTCAGTAAAAATTTTGTCCTTTCTTTTTGTAATTTTTACTTGTTGTTTAGACTTGCCGAAGGTGAAATGGCTCTTACAGGAGGATGTCTTACTAATAGCAAGCCTCTGGAGACCATAGCATCTGAATTTGGTTCTGCGGCAGGTTATGGACTGGCCCTTTTGGGTCAAATATGCAGGTTTGTTTTCTTTTCAAACAAGATATAAGTTCTATGTACAGGTAGATAATTTTTTTTCTCATATTCTTGAAAGTTGCTTTCGATATCTGTCATAATGGTATGTTTTGTACATTATTTCTTTTTTTTCAGGAAATCAGAACAGTTTACAAGAGCTGCAGAATGTTTTAAAAGCAGTCTGAAGTACAATCCATATCTATGGAGTTCATTTGAAAATCTTTGTCAGCTAGGTACAACTTCAGTTTTGTGTATTGTCAGATTCAGATATCATGCATAGGGCAGCTGTGTTTAGTCAAAATGTTTAAAACCTCAAGATATGACATAACCACTTGTTAAAAATCACCGATCATCACGCTTAAATTCCTTCATTTCACCCTCATAGTGCCAAAAGGATTTACTGCCCAGTGATTGAATTAACATTGGAGGAGATTTAACATTTGAGGAGATGTTGATTTTCACTTTCAGCAACCCCTGATGAACATTGTTGTGTTTGAGTTTGGATTTGCTATCTTTCTGCTGCATGCCGTGTAAATGTAAATTTGCGTTGTACATGTATATGTTTTGCTTCAATTTTACCATTGGTACAAATTGGTATTTTCTTTTATTGTGGTGTATGGCAATTCATGTTAAATTGAATTAAACAGGAAAATATCAAAATGTACCAAGAGTAATATAATGTGAACAACAGCATATTCATTTAACCTATTTTTCTATTTTTCATCATTTATTTTTTCAGGAGAAAAGCCAGATCCTGCTGATTATTTTAAGTCATCGTCCTGTCCAAAAATTACATCTTCCATTTCAAACAGAGAGCACATGACTGTAGGATCTTCCACCATCACTATGGATACCACAAGCCCATCAGACAATCAGCGACGTAAAAATGACTCAGTGTCTTCAGAAAATCTTGACCCTTCACAGAATTTAACCCCGCAGAACATTAGCATCCTTATTGGATCTTCTGTTCCTCCATCTAGACAAAGCTCAATTGAAATGTCAGGTAGCAGTTTTGCTGTGCAGTCTGCGGCTGTCAGTATTGTGGGCGAAAAGAGAATGCGTCAGAGGGTTGGTAGAAATCTTTTAGGAGCTACACAGTCAGCGAGTCCGCTAACGCCAAGGTATAATTTGTTACGTGACAGTAGTCCTTTGTATTTCTATACATTTTAATTATTAACAACTAATGTGTACTCTTTGTTGGCTGACTTATAGTTTTGGAATGCTGTCATCGGATACACCAACTAATGACCAGAATACTGTGCCATTTATTACCCCATCTCCAGCTGTTGGTGAAAGCCATGCCCCTAAAGCACCCCTTAAAAAGGTTTGTATCTGTTACAGTTAAACCCTGCAATCTCAAAGTCTAAGGGAAACCAAAAAAGTTCCAGATTGCTGGGGCTCAAGATAGTTGAAAGTAAATGGCTGAAAAAGCATTTCCAAGGGAAAATGATCTGAGTTCAAAATAGCGAAGGTCTACTTTAATATCTTTTGGTCCTTTCAGTACTGTAAGTGTGATTTATTACAAGAAAGTGATCTTAGACAGAGAGCATAAACAATAACAGGATTGCCACAGGTCAGGAAATGGTCAGGAAAAAATTCTTCAAGGTCAGGGAAAAGTCAGAGAATTTTATTTTGAGTCAGGGAAAATTGGCATTTTGAAAAAAAGTTAGCTAAGGATAAATTGAAATAATTTAATACAGCTGATTTAGTACCATTGAAGGCTGGAAGAAACATTTGGGGTCACTGTGATCACAACAATATTTTTACTTTATGAAGACAGAAAATTTATTGAAAACATGCATTATCAGTCTCATTGGATGAGTGGAAAGGATGGCTGTAAGTTCACGCCAGAAGCTGGTACTAGATCTGACATTTTGTATTTAATATGTGGTCAGGGAAATTTGTATTTTTATCAGGGAAAAGTCAGGGAATTTTGATAAGCGATTACTGTGGGAACCATGGATAGAACACCCTAAAAGTCAGTCATTATCAACAACTTCAAGTTTGAATTTATTTTCCTTTAGGGAGGCAATCGAAGAAGTGATTCATCGGCTAAACCTGTGACGGCCATCACATCTAGTGTCCATAGTGTGCATTCACCGTCAACACTATTTACATCGTCTCCTCATGGCTCTGGACATCAGAACTTCTCATCAAATGTGCCCAGTGTACGACGAAGCTCACGGCTGTTTACACTGTCCTCTAGTAACAGCACAGTCAGTGGTTTTGATTCAAGTAACAAAGTAAGCTAATTGCCCCTTACATTGTAAATACTTCCTAAAGAAAGCCCCATCTGATAGCCTGGGGTGTGTGGATTCTGTCCTTTACTTGCCCTACCAGCAAGAGATTTTTTTTTGAGGATGATTTTTAGGACAGTCGAATTACAGATTGAAGACGTGCGAGAGATTATGCTCGTAAACAATTGTCTAGAGACTCCATAGTTACTGCATAATTACACCTTGCCTGTAGGGCAAGCTCAAAAATTAGTTTTCTTCGTACCCAGCTGAAGCTGTGTAGCTGTGAGAAAGTAATCAGCATTTTAAGAGAATGATGTCCTGAGGCTCTAAAAAAATTCTCTTTGCTGAGATTCTTCTGAAGCCTCGAAACATGACAGACAAGGGGCATGATTACAGAGGTGACAGGAAGTCTTTAGGAAATGCAAGAAGAGAGGGCAGGAAGAAGGACCCCCCCAGTGGGGGGAGCACTGTTCAACATTATGTAACATTTTGCAATAAAAAGGTCGACAGAGGTTGGAGACACTAAGGAAGAAGTACATGTATATATGTAGGAGAGTGATAAAGAAACACTGAATCTCAGATACTTTTCTGTGGGCAATGGAGTGAGTGTGTGACAACAACATACTGAAGCCAAACATCTTCTTTTGTGTTGTTCATCTGCCACTCATATATACATGTACAGCAAGTACCATATATGTTTTATTTCATAGTTAGTACAGAAGAATGAAATTAGTACATCAAAATTATGCAATAATGTAATTCAAGTATTGTTAATTGTATAATTTAGGATCGAAGAACAAAAAGTGCCAGAGTTTCTTCACCTTCATGTAGAACTGCTGTTAGTAATGTAGTAAAAAAGGTAAGGTTGTAGTAATAAGGTAAGACAGAGTCTGTTCCAGATCCAAGGATCACGGAAGTCACATCATTACACATTGGTGCCAGCCCCTTAACTCTGTAACGCGATAGTATCCAACGCAGGAAAAACCCAGGTTCCGTTGCCCAGGGCAAATAAATTTTTCTCTTGGGCAAATGAAAACAGAAGTTCAATATTTAAGTGGGGCAAATGAAAACTGAAATTTATTGGCCCACTGGGCAAGTGGATATTAAAATTTTTTCTTGGCCCTAGAATCTAGGAATATTTTTTGGTATTTTATTAATTTTATAGTAGACTCTTGTTTTCCTCCCATCACTACTCAGTCATACTCCTGAGTGGAGCAAGGCATTGTGGAAGCAAATTGTTTTGCTCAGAAACACATCTCACTGAGAGTTAGATAGTGTCTCTCAGACTCAAAGAACTTGAGTCGGTGCTTTCAATAAGATTTGAAATAGGTGCAGTACGCAGAGAGAGTCCTGTCTGATAGCCTGACGTAGCTTGCCTGGGGCAGCAAGGCCCATAACAATCTCCCTCCTTAGGGTCAGGATCAGGAAAGCTCTGTAAATGATGTTGTTATTCTTAATTTATTCCAGACTCGACGTCAAACAAGAAGCTCCACTCCTCAGCCGTTGGCTCCTTGTGTTGAGAATGTTATTCAAGAAGAATCATCAGCACAACAAAACACTGAGGGAAAGGGTCAGGGAAAGTTGTCACCCATTCAAAGCAGTATGGGTATGTTTCCTTGCTCGTGATACTTGCACATTTGTTAGTGGATATTTTCCTTCAGCAGAAAAAAACTTCATTTCTATTCCTGACTTTAGTTTGGTCCCTAACATTCATTTGAATAAATGCAAATTGTATATATCTTATTAACCAAGCACAAGGGCCGTACTGGAAGAATACTGGCCGGAGATCTTGACAGTATGGACCTAATGCAGCGAGTTCTATATGAAAAAGACCCAGGTCCAATTTTCTCCCAGTCTGATCTGAGCAAGCTTGGTCAATATGAGATTTATTACACAACTGAAGCTACCAGAAAATCTCAAGAGTGATCTTGTGGGATCATTGGGAAGAGTGCACGGTCCAATACTTAGACAATAATTATAAGACCACCAATAAAGCAATTTGATTAGTTGATTTTAGTTATTGGCCCTCTGAACTAACCTTGTGTTGAGTGTTTTCACATGACGTCCAAAACAATGAAACAGCAGCCATGCTGGTTTTCCAAATCAATCTTCTGGGAGTGGAAATCTTTTCTCACGAAAATGTTTTCTTTGTTCCAGTAAAGTTGCATGGCTGCTGGCCACATGAGGGAAAACACTTTATTGGATTGAAAATAGTTTCTTTCTTAATGTCTTTTTCTCTGTTTAATTTCATTTTAGATGGGTTGATGTCATTATTGAAGCAGATAGGCCAAGGATATGTCCACCTTAGCTCTTATGAATGCAAACAGGCATTAAATGCCTTTTCAGCTTTGGCTCCACACCATTACAACACAGGATGGGTATTGACGCAAGTGGGACGTGCCCACTTCGAACTAGCAGAATATCAGCTGGTAAAATATTATTATTTATAATCAATCGAATATTTTTTGCTCACAGGCTATTGGTCTAAACGTGTCACTTGACCTGGATATGCCCCAGCCAAAACTGGAGAATATCCAAGTGATATTTGTATTACAAAAAATATTTGAAGTATAATTAACACAATAGCCTCCATTTGACTTTAAATATACCCTAAGATGTTTTTTCTTTGAACCTCACTATTTTCCTTGAGCTTTGCTCAGAAAAATGTTCGCTTCGTGGAACAGACAATGTCTGCTGACAAATATCCGAGCATATTTTCCCACCAAATGCAGGCTATTGTTTATATATATACCAAAAGTTCTAAGTTCTAAGCTCATGTTGTACATGAAGTTGTGGTTGAGTAAACTGACATATCTACCAATCCATGATGTTTGTCAAATCAATTGACAACAAAATAATTATTTTATGACAGAGCTTTCAATTTGAAATGTTTTTTTAATACTGCGTATCAGTGTCTCCCCCTTCTCCCATGTATAAGTCCCTCCAGCTGTGGAGGGAAGTCCCTCCACCCTTACAAACTAACATGGCCTAAGAGTTGTGAAATAAAAATGTTGAATTGCAAAATTTATAATATTGGCACTATCTGCTAATGCTATTTGCTAGAAATGTTGAAGCATCTTAGTGCTTTAAAATTTTTCTATTTTAAACAGTAATCCTAAATGTGATTTTGTTGTTTGCTTGGATGTTTTACAGGCTGAGAAAGTTTTTGCCAAAGTCAAACAACTAGAACCCTACAGAATTGAAGGTAAAAATTTTGTGTGAAGTTGATAAGTCATCTGTGACTTTAATGCTAAAAATAGCGTAATATCTCATGATAAAGGTAAAGTTTGCATTGGAGCAAAGTGGCCCATCAGGCTGGCACTTATCTTTGGTTTCTGTGACATGAAGCCACTAGGAGTATTTCTATTCCCCCCTGGATGATATGCTGGTCAATTGCAGGGTTACCCCCAGCATTAAGTCCGTCGGTACCCATTTATACACCTTGGTGCAGAGAGGCACTGTGAGAGTAAAGTGTCTTGCCCAAGGACACAACCCAATGTTCCGGGCCAGGACTTGAATTTAGACTGCTGGATCTGGAGGTGAGCGTACTAACCATGAGACTACCATGCCTCGCATCAAGAGATTATGATCCTGTCCCATATAATATCTCTGGGGGCTCACAATTTAGGTGTTAAATCCAGGATCCTAGGATATGTGATATGTGATATGTTTTACTAACCTCCCAACTCTGGGAAATCTTGGGAGGCTCAGCACCCATGTGGTTTGTTCTTTGTACTCGAAAGGTCTTAGGCAAAGTGTTTTAGTATTACTCTTGCCACTTGCACTAACCCTGGCATTAATATTTGCTTACTCATTTTTTCCTATTTTCTTTCCATCAGGCTTGGATCTGTATTCTACCACTCTGTGGCATCTTCAGAATGAAGTGGCTTTGTCAGCTTTAGCTCAAGACTTAGTGGAATCTGATCGCACATCCCCACAGGTAAGAACATAACCATTACAAAATCTCAATTCAAGAGTAGCGAAAGCACAAAAAAACTATTGAATAAAGAAATGATACACAAGAGAACAATTGCTTACTGAAATGGCTGGGCTTTGTTTGTTCCAGTCTCACATGAAAAATGCTTCTTTTCACACGCCCAGTTTCAACCCCTGCTAAAAACGGGCGCTTGAGATTCAACCTGAGAAATTTCAAACTGATGACATAGCTATACTAAGGTCCTTGTTCTCTGATTGGTTGTTGCGTGCAAAAATTCATACCCTAGCAACATCCAATCAGAGATATTACATGGATCTCTGTAGAGTACGTCATTAGGATAGAATTTTTAGATCAAATTTCAAACTTCTCTCAAGCAAAGATAATTTTATGCGCGAACGGAGACGACTGTTATTACGTGACATTTGTTCCTTAGCATCTATGGAAGGTGCGATGCCACCGTGGTTAGTCCATTAAACTCCAGACTGAGCCTTTTGAAGAAACATTTGAGTTCACTGTGATCTCAATTAATGAAAAAGGAAAATTTGTAGAAAACCTAGTAGTCTTGATGAAAGGACGGCTGCAAGGGAAGGTTAGAAGCTGCTTCTCCTGATCTGACTTTTTGCATATATTTTGGTCAGGGAATTTTAAAAAGCTGATATGTGTGGTAACCATGAGTAAATAATTCTTTCTTACTTTCTTAGGCTTGGTGCGCCACTGGTAACTGTTTTAGTTTACAGAAGGAACACGATACAGCCATAAAGTTCTTCCAGCGTGCTGTTCAGGTGAATCCTTCCTTCACGTACGCCTACACATTGCTCGGCCATGAATATGTACTCACAGAAGAACTTGATCGAGCCATGTCTTGCTTCCGCCAGGCTGTCAGGACAGATTCACGCCATTACAATGCCTGGTTAGTATACTTTTTTAAATTTATTTTCATTTTGTTTTATTTGCCATAAAAAAGGGCAAAAGAAATCACTATTATTAAAGTATGCAAAAAATAGAGAAAAAAGGGTGAGGGAACCTAATAAAAATCACGAGGCTTGTAAACTTAGTTCCCTTCCAAGAAATACTAGATGACTAAAACTATACATTATTTTGTAACTGACTTTGATATTCTTAGAAATATTTAACTTAGGAAGGTGAGGAAGGTTTTCAACTTCTTGTAGGTTTAGGTTATTGACGGGCAGCAAGCCTTGATATCCATTCGCAGAAACAATCGGAAGCCACTGCATTGCTTTTGATCGACACGTTCACGTGGCAACCAGCTGCAAGTGACTGACATATCACTGATTGCATTACATTGTAATTTATCATAATGTATTTACTTGTAGGTACGGTATTGGCATGATTTACTACAAACAAGAGAAGTTTAACTTGGCTGAAATCCACTTTAGGAAAGCTCTATCGATAAACCCGTCTAGTTCTGTGTTATATTGCCATGTTGGTGTGGTAAGTTATCGTTTATAAACAGACTGTTAGGTGACATCTGAAAGCTGACATCTCATGGAAAACTAAAAACTTCCTTTGAAGGAGGACCGTTTACAACTGGCTCGCTTCGCATGGGTTTTTTAGATAATCTCTCTTGTACGGGAATTTGGTATTTGCGCACCCCCCCCCCCTTCTCTATAATGATCACGTTTTCAGTCAACCCATTTTGTTTATTATTGCTGGAATTTTTCAACCTTAACAACTGTTATTTTGAATTTCCTTCGGTTTGAAAGTAATTTTATAGATTAGAATGACTCTTGACAGTTTTTACTTGCTTGTCAAGGTATTTCGCATTTGTTTTGTTTTGCATAACACGCTACGCGATTGGCTAAAGAATCTCGCGCCACTTTGCTAAGATGGACAGTGACAGGCTCGCACACTCGCACCGTTTTCGCGCACTTTGCGCCGGCCATGTACTGTTTTGATTGGTCCTTTGGATTGTCTGTTTCCTTTGTGATTGGCCAGAGTGATTACTTTGGTTTTGCTTTGATTACACCCGGAAACTTCTCTGTCATGACGTAACACTGTTCTCTTGTATTTCTCAGGTACAACACGCAATGAAGAAATCTGAAGCAGCTCTTGTCACCATCAACAAAGCTATGACTATTGACCCAAAGAATCCGCTCTGCAAGTTTCATCGTGCCTCAGTCTTATTTTCAATGGATAAACATCAGGTATGGGCCGGTTGCTATGATTCTAAATTCTCTTTTCGAGCTGTGCTTTAATTCGAAAACTTTTTATTAATGAAAACCAGTTGAGACCGCACAACAAAGCTATTTTAAATGGCCGTACCTTTTTAGGAAGACGTTAGGAAGTTATAACTCTAGAATGATCCTGATTATTTCAGACGTGTAATACGTCTCAGAGACAATTACGGACAATGGAGGCGACATAAAGGAGCTCAGTCACGTTTTTTTTTTTTTTTTGGTTATTTTGGCCACGTACAAAATTTCCTTTAAATTGAAGGAAACCTGAAAATAATAGTTGACCAAGATAGAAAAACACTAAGATCACAATAAACCATAAAGGAACAACGATGGTTAAGGATGGAGAAGATTTACACGGATTACAAACGACGAACTTGAAAAATCTAGGCTAAACTTTTCAAGATGCGCAAACTGTGACGTAGCCCCTTTAAATGTCCGATGACCTGAACGTCATTTTTCTCAAAGACCCATAAATCAGGCAAGACACGATATTTATTGCCCTTGTGTGCCGTCTTTTCGTCAAGGTAGTTACAAAATCGACCCAGGATTGAAACGAGCCTCTCTCTTGACGATTTTCAATGTCAAAAAGAAAATTTGAGCATCTGGATTAAATTTGTCATGTCACACATCTTTTCAGATAAATACAACTAATTGATTTAACTTGTGTCCTACCCTGCAACAGGAAGCACTGGAAGAACTAGAGGAATTGAAGAAAATTGTTCCGCGAGAAGCTCTTGTGTACTTTTTAATCAGCAAGGTTAGTTTACCTGAACACTTTGATTAACAATGTTCAGCTTTAAAACTCTCCCAACTGAGTTAATCACATTCTCTATAACTGCACTTGAAGAAATTGGTTTTTAATCGAGAGGTTTGTCTTGAAATTATCACGTTCTATAATCTCATTAACCACCTGGTTGAATTTCGCATAAAAAAGTTAAGAGGAGATGGTTCTTAATCAGGGAGGGTTAACTAACTCCTAGGACTACTGGCGCATCAGGGCGATGCTTAACTGTGGTTTCATTTAGCTATAAGCGACTAAGAGTTATTTCTGCTCCTCCCTAGATGGGATGCCAGTCCATCGCAGGGTTACCCCCAGCATTAAGTTTGCCAGTACCCATTTATACACCTGG